TAAGTATTTTTTAATAATAAAACCATTTTGGGGAAGACAGGCTATTGAATCATGGTCCCCGGAAGAGACACCCCATGTGTCAGCTCTTTTGCAGAATCTGGCGAGCACTGTCACCTCATCTGTGAAATGGGAACAGTAGCTACACCCTTCCTTGCGCAGAGGTGTTGCAGGTGAAGACTTAGCACCGAGCCCGGCGCGTAGTAGGTGCTCAGTAAACAACCGTAGCTGCTGTAGTCTGAGGAGTGGGCTGGCCTGTGGGAGGACCAGCTGGAGCACCTCTTACCTGGGCTGCATCGGGTTCAGCGCGTGACCACAGGGAGAGACCAACACTTTCACTTCCACTAGTGAGCTGAAGGCAGGATCTGCTTTGCCACCAAATATGGTGGACGGTTCTGGAGCACTGGGAAGAAATGGAGGGCGGATGACACTTGAAGCCTTCTCTCTCCTTGAGAAGCCCAGAATAAATGGAGCTTCTGGGACAGTACAGTGCTCAGACCTGGGCAGCTGGGGCCCCTCCCCTGAGCCCTGTGCTTTAGAGGGTCCTTCCCTGATCCTCGTCACACGGCCACCTCGAGCCTGCACCCTCCCTGTCTTGGAGCATACTCCTGGACCTGGGACCCCGGCGTCCTTGCTGTGTGGCATTGAACCCTCATCCAGGGCTTACAGAGTCCTCAGCCCTGGGCCCGGGCTCCTGAGCATCAAGCATGCCACTGGTGTACACTGAGCCCCAGGGAGGTGAAGTGCAGGGACTAGATGCCACCGGGACAAGTTACATGGGATGGTCACAAACACACACTGGGGGGGGAGTCAGGCAGGCAATGGGGAGGCCCTGCTGCAGCTCCATGGAGACCTGTACTGCGCTGAGGGTGAGGGACACATCCAGAAGGTGGCTGATGCAGAGGGCTTCGGGGTGTGCAGTGCTGCTCTAGGCCAGACGAGGCACTGGGTGCTTCGGACACATTTTCTCACTCATTCCCCTCCTAGGACCGTGGGCTGGGATTAAGAGCATGGACTCCAGGGCTGTGCAGCCTGGGTTTAAGTCCTGCTCGGTCTTTGCCCTAGCTCTTGATCTCCAGAATTAACGCCTCTGTATTGCAGCTTCTCCATCTGCAAAATAGGAAGAAGCCAGTTACTAGTTCGTGGAGCTGCTGGGGGTGAAGGAGAGAAGTACCAGCCGCCAGCTTAGCTGCGGTCACACTCCAACACGTTTTAGCCCCCTTATTGTTAAGCCCATTTTACAGAAAATCAAGCTGAGACTCAGAGATTCATTTACTCTCTGGGAAGCAAGAGAAGTGGTCCTTCTACTTCTAGAACTGCTCCTCATTCTGCCCTCACCCCTGAGACATGAGTGCCAGGTGCTTGGCACCTCTCCAGGGGGCACCTCTTTGGCCCTCCAGACTAGCTCATTTGGTGTTCCAGATGGTGCTGAGAGAGAGAAAGTCCTTCCTGCTCTCACTCCTGCTGGGCAGGTGAGGAGGGGCTGACACAGAGGCAGGGCTGAGCACAGCTGGCTCTGCAGGCTCTAGAGCCTTCTGGAGCCATCCCACCGCACTCTCCCACCCACTGCAGTGCTGATGCTGGAGCCCATCTCCGTCCACATGGCTTCTCACCAGCACTCCGTTCAGAGTGTGCCCTGGACACAGCCCACCGCGGTCCTCGGAAGAGGCTGGAGTGCTGTGGGTTCCTCTAGGGCTTGAGGCTGGCGACTCTCCTTCTGCCTCCCGAAACATCCCTGGGCACCAGGTGCATAGTAGGGCACTGCGCTGCTGAGGAGTCTGCAGAGGTTTCTGACGCCTCCAAGCCTCAGTGTCTGCATAAGCTTCCCGAGGCTGCCACAACAAGTTGCCAGAAACTCGGTGCCTTCAAACAATAGAAATCTAATCTTCCACAGTTCTGGAGACTAGAAGTAGGAAGGCAAGGCGTTGGCAGGGTCGTGCTTTCTCAGGAGGCTCTAGGGGAGGATTTGTGTCTTGCCCCTTCTAGCTTCTGGTGGCTGCTGGCTTTCCTGGGTTTGTAGCCACGTCACTCCAAGCTCTGCCTTTGGCTTCACACTGCTGTCTCCTCTCTGTGCCTCTTACAAGGACACTTGTCATTGGAGTTAGGGCCCATCGAATAATCTGGGGGGGGGTGGTCCCTTTATCTCAAGACCCTCAACTTACTTATATGTGCAAAGACCCTTTTTTTCCCAAATAAAGTCACATTTACAAGTGCCTGGGATTGGGATGTGGACATATCATTTTGGGGATCACCATCCAGCACACTACGGTGTCTTCATCTATAAAGCAGGTGCAACGTTGTATCAGCCTCACAGCATTGGGGTGGGGATTCTACAACATAATGTATATTAGCCAAGTGGTTACAATTCTAACTGTATTTACTATAGCCTCCCTGCACACAACAAAACGTGTAGGTAAAAACAAAGTCGGTGGATCTTCACAGAGTCCTGGCTCACTTTAAACAGCTGTTTTTTTTTTTTTTAAGATTTTATTTATTTATTTGAGAGAGAGAGCACGAGAGGGGGGAGGGTCAGAGGGAGAAGCAGACACCCCGCCGAGCAGGGAGCCCGATGCGGGACTCGATCCCAGGACTCCAGGATCATGACCTGAGCCGAAGGCAAGTCACTTAACCAACTGAGCCACCCAGGCGCCCCTGGCTCACTTTAAATGTTTACTTGCGCCCCTGGCTCACTTTAAATGTTTACTTGTTTAGTTGAACAGAAGCAATCCTTAAATGTCGTTTGCAAACTTGGGGTAAGGACGTTCATGGCAGAGGCACGGGGTACCCCCTACAGGTCCCAGCACAAGGCGTTCCCCGGGGGCAGGGAGAAGCATGGCCACTAGAGAGGCTTTGCTATCATTCGTGGGCTGCCTCCATCAGACTGGCAACATACGCGGATGGGATATAACAGCTGAGGTTTACAAAACACACATGCACTTTTGGAGGACAACCTGGCAGTGCATCAACACTTCAAATGCATGTCCCTTTGTTCCAGCTCAGCCCCCGTCAGGAAAGTGTCCTGCAGGAAGAAGAGCGGGCCGGTACAGAGATACGTGTCCAAGGATGTTTGCTGTGGTGCTGCTCGTAATTGCGGGGCGGTGGGGGGGGGGGGGGGGGGGGGGACGAGATGGGAAGAGAGAGCCAGTGAGAGAGCAGGCAGGGAGAAAGGGAGGAGAAGAATAAAAGAAAGGAAAACTGCAGGAATGTCCTCTGTGGAGGAATGGCCGAATGCCCAAAGATGCCCCCAAACTCCATGCTTCTCTGCAGGGCTTAGGGGGTGAGGGCCTGAGAAGGTGAATCCTCAACACGGGCCAAGTGATCACACTCTTACGCGAAACAAGAGTCCGAGCAAGTGTCCTCGTGCACACATAAGCATAGCGTGATGATGCACTCTAGATCCACAAGTGTGTGCAAGGGCCTGGCAGCTCACCAATCTGCCTTCGAGCCGCGGCCCCTGCTGGGAAGAAATGGGGGTGGAGAAGGGGTTTTAACTTTCTATTTCTGCCAAGTGTCGATATTTCCCAGCAAGGATGGCAAAGAGAGCTTACCAGCGTAATCACAAAATTAAGTAAATTTCCTTACCCAGATTTGCAGGCAATTCATCTGTTCAGCTGCACAGGACCTGGAGGCTCAGAGGGGACAGCCGGAGGTGACTGAAGCAGAGAGAGCCCCTGCCCTTCTCTGAATGCCACTCCTAGACCCCCAATCCGTAGCGCAAGGAGGCTCAGGAGGTGGCCCCCTTGCTAATTCTCCTGTAGGGGTTTGGGGACTTTGCCAGGCAGGTCCTGGGCAGCTGGTGGGTCTTGACTGGGAGACTGAGTCACCCACCAGGAGACCCATGAGGACAAACAGGGGGCGGCGAGGCCATGCCTGCTTGGGGGGGTGTGCTTGGCGCCAGGTCCCCGTGCTCAAGGGTGCGCTCCCCTCGGGCCGGGACACAGCAAGGCCTGAGGAGGAGGCAGGAGTGAATCACCACAAAGCTATGCCAACAGGTGCAGTGAAATCGTGATACGCTGGGAACGGAGCTGGCTGGGCCGCTCAGCGCCAATCCCTAGGGAGGCTCGCTCCCTCCCAGAGTGGCCGAGGGCTGGCCTTCGTATTTTGTATTTCCGAGGCTTTGTTTCTCCACAATGGAAGCATTTCTGAGCTCCTGCCTTTGTAAACAGATACTGCTCAGCAAGGCGGGTGATTCCCAAGCTGTCTCGGCTCTCCGCTTTCTCGTATTTGGGAGGAGTAGCCTTCAAGTTCTAGCTGTTGCCCCATGTTGCCGTGTGACACACGGGGGCCAAGTCACCTGCCTGGGCTCTGGCCTGTTCCCTGCAGCCTTGGTCAAAGGGGCTGGCCCACCTCCCAGGACTACTGGAGGCAAGAGTTCTCCAAAAGGCACACTTGAATCTGCTTATTCCTGCCCGAGAGCCGGTGGCAGGGGGGGGGGGGGTTCCCTCCAGGCAGGAGGGCAGCTTAAATTTGAGGCTGCCAGGAAGGACTATGGAGTCTAAGAGCCAGCAGTCATGGTGGGCCACACCTGGATCAGGAGGGCACGGGGCAGGTGGCTCAGCAGGAGGGGCTGAGGGAGCTTCCAATGGGGGGAGATGGGTGCTGGCCCAATTGTCTCCTGATGAGGGAAAGTCTAGGTTTCCTCTCCTGAGGCAGGGCCTGGGGCTTTCTGGAAAAAAGATAAAGAAGGTCTGCTCTGTGGTGCCATGTTTTCCTGGCACTCTAGAGACTGGAAAAGGGGAAATGAAGGAGATGAAATTTCAGCCATCCAGACGCAGTTTGGGAACCCTGACCAAATGTCCCAGAGCTTGCTGAGCTCCCCTCCACCCTCAGCAGGGGCTGGTGGTTCATCCAAATAGCACACATCTGGGGTGAGGGCTGGCGCCAGGGAAACGCGTCCCTGAGGCTGAGAGGGCCCCGCCGATCTGTTGCTCTGAAGCCCCAGCTGCTATGGGAGCAGGAGGAGCCTGAATCCCCCAGATCCCCAGGCCCTGCTCATCACTCACCACGGGCTGCAGAAATGTGGTGTCTCCAGAACAAGTTCGCTGCTGGCCTGGGGACTCGTGTCTCCCCTGAGGTCACGTCTGGGCCTATTTGCAAGTCACTGCTCCCACGGCAGAGGGCTATGCCCTTTCTCGGGGGCATGGCAGGGCCATGGGGCTGACATGTCCACACTTGCCACTCACATCACCCACCACAGCACCTGTCACCACCGCCACTCCCTCGTGGTGCTGTGCGGTCTGAGCCGGGGCCACAGTCACCCACAAGCTTCCGGCGTCCAGGGTGTCAGCGCACCCTCCAAGGGGAATGGTGGCAGAGGAACTCTGTGTTCTTCCTCTGGTGGACAGGGAATTCCTTCTCCTTAGGAATCCAGGGGCAGATTGCTGCATCTGAAGGCAGTGCCTGGGTCCGGCCCCAACACCTAGGAGAAGCAGGTACCCACCGCCCGTGGAATTGCACCTGGTGGCGGCAAGAGCTGGTGCTGAGATGAGTAAGGCTGTCCGTCCTCCGTTCACAGCTTTAGGAAGAAGTCTCAACTTGGACCCAGGTGCTAGGAGACGAGATCACCCAGGGCAGGAAGTGACAGCCCATCAGAGCATGGTGGTGGGGGTGAAGGTGGGGTACAGGGGCTGGGGGAGGAGAGCCGAGGGGCAGCTCCAGATTCAGGGGCACCCAGATCTGGCTAGGCGGCCATTCTCTACCACCCCTGGCATGGGGTCTGACCCTGCCATTCAGCCTCCTAGAGGCTCAGCTCCCCCTCCCATGAAATAAAGTAGCTCCACCTCATCGGCTTGTTGAGGGACGGCAAGAGTAACAGGTGTCGAGGGGGTTGCCTGGGAACGGGCTCCCGCAAACCCGGCACAGCGGCTTTGCTGTTAGGTCCTCGCTGCATGGGGAAGAATCCCTTTACAGCTCAGAGCAATCTACACACGTGTCTTCCACACACATGCTCGCCACCTTTGCCAGGTGCCAGAAAGAGAAAGACTCGGCCCCCAGGTGCTCTCGGGCTAAGGTAGAGACTTACCTGTAAGCAGATTGCAACACAAAGTAGCGACAGATGTTTGCCCAGGGGGCCTCAGGAGTGAGTGATTGTGCCTGGGGGTGCCCCAGGGGCGTTGAGGCAGCATCACTCGGAGGCTGTAACAGACACAGCAAAAACAGGTACCAAGTTGTTCTTTTTTTTTTTCTTTAACTAGACAATCCTTCATTTTCCATTCATTCATCATTTCTTGATTATCTCCTATATGCCAGGCAGAGAGAAGGTCCCCAAGGATAGAGACAGCTCTCCATTCAGAGGAAGTAACATTACCTAAGGGACAGAGGCTTCCCTGGCCCAGAGTCGCCTTTAGTCATCTGCGCTCTCAGCACCACGACAACCCCGAGGTGCTGCGGGGTAAGCCAGAGGTAGCCTCCCACTGGACTATGGCCCTGCTCCAGCTAACGGCCCCGCCCATAGCCCCCAGCACAGTGCGGGACACAGGGCAGAGGCTCAGTAAACACATGTTGATGGCCCTGTCAGCTGAGTCAGCTGGGAGGGAGGGCACATGGCCTTTGGTGTGGGGAGTGCTCCAGGGAGGGTGGGGGTCAACGGTTTCAGGAAGCACTAGTAGGAAAGCCTAAGGTGGCTACCCAGACCCCAACATGCAGATGGACTGCAGATAGGCATGCCCTCGGGAGGAAGGACACGGAGCAGAGGAAATGGTATAAGCCAAGGCACAGAGGTATCCAAAGGCATGGGCTATTCAGGGTGGCTGGGAAGAAGTAGAAGGTACTGGAGGGGCTGCATGCTACGAAGCCAAGCCCAGACACGGGATAGCTGGCTTGGCAAACCCAGCTGACACGCACTGAGCGGTGCTCACCCCCTTTGGTGCCTTAGCCAGGGTACCTCTGAAGGCAGACCTGAGGCCATGCTGCGTATGTGAGTACTTTCTGTGGGAACATTACCCTGGGAGCAGAGCTGAAGGACTGGGGAGCAGAAAAGGCAGAGGCACTTACAGGTGCCTAATCCAATTGGCCAGTGCTGTGGGCGACGGGAGATCCGTCCCATGACGGTCAGAGTGGCCCTACGAGCAGCTAACGTGCTGCAGAGCAAGACTGTGGGGGACTGAGTGCCAAGCAAGTTCTGTGGGGTCACAAGCAGCAGCATCCAGATACATCAGGGCAGGAAGCAAGGGGCCCGGGGTAAGTCCTGGTCAGTCTGCTCCCAGGAGGACCTGGCCAGTGCCGGTGCAGAGCGGTCCTGCAGGACGGCTGGAGTGTGTGCTGGGGCAGAGAGCTCGAAGCAGCACATGCAAGGTGCTACTATGCACGGTTCAGAGAAAAGCAAGAGCTGACAGTCCCAGCTGTGTGCCATGGGCCTTTGCCTTGGACTAGATTTCCCAGACTCTGGGCCAAGGATTTAGGGCAAGTAGCTGACTTGGGAAGGTGCAGGGAAGACAGGTCGGGTTTCGGGGAGGGAATGCACGCAGTCATGGGTGCGTTAATGGGGGCAACCAACAAAATGGGTATACCGGGAGCTTCATCCCATGGGAAGACTCGGGAAGACACATCTCAAATTTGTCCCTCTCAGGAGTGAGGAGTAGGGACATTGCCACACCACTTCTTGTCAGTCACTGGTTGGGAGCCACATCCAGGGATGTCAATTCCCTGGCATTTGGGCCAGAGATCGGGAAAGAGTAGCTCTCTGGGGTTTTGGACAAAGTTCTCAGGCACAGAAATGCAGATTCCAAATGTTCTGTCCAACAATGCCCTTGCCCCAGCCCTCACCCCTAGGGCACCAGAAATGGACAACTGCCTCTCGTGCTGGCCAGGACCGGCCACCTTGCAACTGCCTGCCCAGAGTCCTGAGACAGAAAGCGATCACTTCAGTTCAGCAAACATTATATGTCTGTCTCTGTTCTACTTCGGTTTCCTCTGTGGCTGGCATCACCCTCCCAGGCAAGAGATTATATATTTATTAGCTTATTGGATGAGGATTGGTCTCCCCCAGTGACATGCTAAGTCCCCCAAGGACAGGGACTCGGTCTAACCCAGGAGGCATCTTACGTGCCTAGAACTGTGCCTGGCACATGGAAGATGCTCGGCGGTATTTGCGGAATAAAGGCAGGAAGGACCGATGTATGAGACTCAGAGAGCCTAGCCTTCCATCCGTTTAGTCTCCCGGGCAGAAAAGCAGGCCCCTAGCCACACATTAAAACAAGTGGCCCCTCTAGTGTCCCCAGGGGGGTCTTGCACTGGGCTTCCCGTGGCCAGGGCTCATCGCCCGGCACGGGATTCCTCTGGGCACCGTCACGGCCATTTCCAGGCTGGTGGGTGTCCTCTGCGAGTCCCTGCAGAACTGGGCTCCCTGCCCCATCCCACCTCCGGCATCTACCCCGGGACCGACGGCCTCCCTTACGCACGGTCTTCCGTGTAAAGTCATGGCAGTATTCAAAAGGTTAAAGCAGAGTGAACTGTTAATTTTAATGCTTTCTCTAAGCTTCAGTTTTAATAAGCGAAAATGATGTTCTTATTTGCAGTAAAGTGGTGTTATAAAATTCTGTCTGTCAAGCTCATTTTAAAACCATGGAAATAAATGATCTGACAAAATCAGGCTATTAGACAAGTGAGGAAGAGTGATTTCCATAAAAGTAGAGGAGCTGTTCCTTAATTTCACACTTGGTAGTCTTTTGGGTCGACTAAATTTTTAAATAAGTGATAAAATTATATTAGCGCAATTGCATTTTTATAGATTTTTTTGGTCATTGTACTCTTTTTCAATCCCTTTATTTTAACTCAAACTGTTCTGCTGAAAGGTTAGTCTCAACTTATGTTAGCTCGTAACAGTCTGTCCGCACACCTGCACGCCCGCACTCTCGCACGCAGTCCTGGCGGGGTCTGGCGGGGTCTGGCAGGGGCGCACCACACACGGCTGGAAATGGCCACTTCCTGCTGGACACGTGGGGCTGTGGCCCCTAGGTCCGTAGGAGGGCGAGGGGGACGCCGGCGGTACCCGCCAGGGTCGGGAGTGTGCCTGCCCCTGGCTTCTGAGCTCACTCGGTTTTTGCTCAGGATAAGGAAGACAACCAGGAGACCATGTTCTCCAGAAACCCTCATTCTTGCAACTCAGGACGCTGGGTGGGGACAGGACTGGTCAGTGTTTGCACAAGAAGCTGGGAACTTAGGCAGGGAGAGGGAAGGGAGCACATCTGTCATCCTTCATGTGTCTCCCACCAAGCCCACCAGACCCTCTCAAATCATCAGATAGCCAAGACCGGGCTCAGTGTTCTGTCTCAGGCCCTGGGAGAACCCTCGGGCGAGGCCCAGAACTCAGGTCTCCCTTGGGACTGAAACAGGCCCAGTCAGACAGATTGGGTCCGGTTGGGGGAGAAGAGGGGACGGCTCTCTGATCTGATTTTTAATAATTAGAACAGCATGGAAGGTATGGGTCTGTGGCATATTGTCTGCCCTGGCCTGTGCTCATTTCCCAGTTGTAAATGTTGAGAGCACAGACTTTTGCCCTCTGCAGACCAGGCTCACCAGCCTCTGCATTCTCTCAGGAGCAGAGCTCGGGGGCTGGGGCCCCCTGCTCTTTGCCCCAGGCGCTCATGCCCAGTTCTCAGACCCAGCAACTCCTCCCCTCCCCCACCCCGCCAAGCCTGGGTTCCTCTCTTGTCCTTCCCAGGCTTAGCCCCTGTCTGGGTCACAGTCACACTCACCAGCCTCGTCCACATCCAATTCATCTCTTGCAATGGTTTCTCTTGGACATCAACTATGTACAGGCAGTCAGATGACACTACAGAAAGGTCCAGCAATTGGCTGCCCCCTCCCCATCCGTGGATAGGTCTGCATTCAGGGTCTGTGGCCAAACCCGAAGCTCAGAACTCAGCCTCAGCACCCAGCTGGCCTCTGGGTGCGTCCTCCCAGCACGTGTTCACCTCCGGGCAGCCCAGTGCGGCAGTTTGTAAAAACGTGCATTCATTTCCAGGTAGCCCTTCTTCCAGGAGGAAAATGAGCCTCTCTCTCATTAAAAGAGAGAGAACACACATTTGTGGAGCCTCTCCTGTGGACCAGGCACCGTGCTGGGTGAGAATGCAGACCCGCTGTCTATTTTGCTGTGAGGGGTGTGGCGCTCACCTGGGAAACACAGCTCTTAGAACAAAGGAGTATCCTGCTCCAGGGAGGGAATGGCCTTTTGAGAGGCTGGCTGTGAGAGCCCCCACTGAGGAGACTGTGAGCTGGGGAATCAATTCACTCCATGCATTTTTTCATTAATTAAGCAAATGTTTAGTGGGTGCTTTCTGTGTGCCAGGACTCCCCCAGCCTTGGCACTGCCTGGTTGGGGATGGGGGCGGTGTGCAGGCTGTCACGAAGTGGCCAGAAGTGCATGCCCTCCGCCAGCCACCCAACATCTGTCTGACATTCAAGAGAGCATCTTCTGAGCACAGAAGTCAAGCTTTCCTTCTCCACGGAGGCTCCGAGAGGCAACGACGTCGGAGCGCAGGGGAATGGTAAGTCCGAAGTGTTTCCTGGGAAAGAGGAGGAAGTGCCGGTGAGGCACAGCCTGCAGGGTGGCCGTGGAGGGGCAGGGCTGTCTCTCCCTAGGAAGGAAGAAAGAAGAAGTCCAAATTAGTCATGTTGTATTACTTCTTTTTATGGCAATGCTCTGAAAGTCTGCAAATGTCAGCATGTTAATTTACTGTCACTCAGTGATATTATTTCATCCTTTCAAAAATGTGTTTCTTGCATTTTCAGTAGCATACTCCAAGTGTTCTCCATCTCAAAGTTTCTATAGATAGTGCGACTACTTTCACTCTGACCGGTGCCAAAATGTAGAAATTCATCGCTGGCTGTAGCCACATATATGTTACGAGTGGAGTCGGGGACTCGGGTTTCCTGCTTGCAGAGCCCGGGGGAGAGGTCTGATTTTTCTCTCTGTTCTCCTTCTACCACCCCTCGTCCTCCTAAAATGCTCTGGGGTTTCTCTCTCAAGGAACGCGCTGAGATAAATCGAATAGAGAGAAATTTTAAGGAATCAGTCATGGCTGGGTTTGTATATTGAAGCCTGAGCCCTCCCCGTCTCCAGACGCAGCCCACCCCCCACCCGGCTGCTTCTCCTATGGTGGCAAACTTATTTCAAAAATTCTGATGAAACACTTGGTAAATTTTGTTATTCTGTGATGATAATAAATCATTATAGCCTTAAACACTTCTCTAGCTTGGAGCCTCAGCCACAAATTATCTTGTCATTCTGACCAAAACATTCTCCAAAAAAGCTTGACAAGTGCTAAAACCCAGAACATGAAACCATGTGTTGTTGTGAAAGCAAGATTCAGAAATGTCAATTAATTAGATTAAGAGGCTACTTTTAGCTTTACTCGTGTTGCCAAATAACCCTTAAAATACGCATAGCAGTGGAAATCTACCTCCGCGGTACAGTACTTCTGTGCTGAAGGAAGACAATGGATCGGACTAATGGACAGAATTATTGTATCTGTCAGCCTGCTCGAGAGAATGATCTAGAAGCAAATGTCTTGCTTCTTTTTCCACAATGTGGCTTCCCAAGCTGGGTAAATCCTGCCATTTATGAATTCAAGTAGTTCCCTGCACCCCGCCCCTCTGAAATCATCTACAGATCTAGAAGGAAAAGTCAAGCCTTTTTTGTACGCCTTTACTAAGAAGATGGATTTTTAATGTCTTTCTGTGCTTTTTTTTTTAATTTGCATTTGCATTTTGAAGTTCACTTTGTAAAAAAAATATACATCATGAAGAAATTATTTAAATGTTTTTTTATCCCTGTTTCTTGAAAATCTTATCTTTAAATAATCTATATCCTCCATTTTATTTATGCCATAAACTGTTCCTATATTTTAATGGTCTGTTTGCTTTAAAAGGGGTTGTTGGTTTTAATAGCTCAGTTACTATCTTTGTAAACTAAACTCCTTCTGACGAAATTCGAGCAGATCATCTCTGCCTGTGTGTGGAAGGCACATTCCAACCCCTGAAAAGGAAATTTAAGCCAAATAAATGTTCTGCCCAAATTAAAATACATAAAATGAATAGTTAAGTTGGACAAGAGCTGATGGACGGAGCAGTTGGGACATGTGGGTGTTGGGAGAGCTGGCTGCCAGGCAGGGCCTCAGGAGAGAAAACCCAAATGAAATTAATTTCCCGACCCCCTTTATCCATTCCTCAGGGCTAATTGATTGCAGTGTTGGCATGATGTCTTTCTTGGGCGAGCAAATGGGGCAGGGCGGGTGGCACTGGGAAGGGTGATGTGAGGTCATTCCCTACGAGGACCTTTGGGGTCCCAGCCCCTGCACCCAGCCACGGCTCAGCGCCTTCTCTGCCCCCATCAGCCCTCCCGGGGGTACAGGAGATGAAAATTCACCTCCATGTTCTCAATGGCAGTTGTGCCCACCTGGATTCTATTATAATCCATGTGGATTCTGACACTAACTTTATGACAGGGCATTTCTGCGGAGGAAGGACACATCTGCTCACACAAAGAAATGGCGGGGGTGGGTGGGGAGGGCAGGATGGAAGACGTCTGAGACTGAGAGAGGAGTCCCTCCCCTCTTGGCATGCACAACCTTGCCACCCACTGCCCACTGCTACCCCCAGCAGCAAGTGCGAGGAGCCGGAAAGGCACAAAAGGCCAGCCGACCCATCCCGCCGGTCCGGGCAAGGTGTGCCCCGGGCCGGGGGTGGGACTTCCTGTGGGCGGGACTTCCTGTGAGAAGCCATTTCCGGCGGGATCATTCTGTGCGCCCCAGGAGGGGGCGAGGCTCTGCCGCGGCCCGCCAGGTTCCCGTGTCGCACGGTTCCTCCGGGTCCCCCCACTCGTTGTACTTCCCTCCCCTCTCAGCCAATCTCACTGTTTCTAGCCAGCAATGAGGCAATTAATGAGCTGTGCAGAAGCCCTAAGTTATCTCTGGAACTAGATGGGTAATAAAAACATAAATAAGTAAATAATTAAATAACTAAATAAAATAAAACGGATGAGTGAGGCATCCAGGGCTCCAGTCTCCCTGGAATAAGTAGCACCGGTTGGTGGAAACAGCCGAGGGGGAGGGGACGGCCTGAGCTCTTGAAGCAGCTCTGCGGCTGACATGGAGTGTTATCTTGGCCGAGTCATTCCCCCCGCTCATCGGGAGCCTTCCCACTGAGCCGAACAGCGCCCCAGGTTAATGCGTGCAGGAGTGCAGGGGCCAGACGGGAACACGGGGCGTTTGTCGCAGCCAGGCGGTGCCGTCCATACTCCCTCCGCTCCTCCTCTGTACCTGCCAAGTGCTTCCTACTGCAAGACCCTGGGTCTCTAAGCCCGTGGGAACACTGTCTTCCATGCCCCGGGAGCAGTGCTCAGCCAGGTTCAGACGGGAGTCAAGAACCCCCATCTGCCTGACCCTCAGATGGGACCACTCCGGATTTCCTGGCACAATCCTACAGAGCTTTCCAGCGCGCTCAAGTCCCATCGACCCCGGGGGCATCCTGCTCCTTAATGCATCTGGAACCGGCTTCTTCTCCTTTCCTGTCTCACCACCCCCTGCCCCCTACCCCCTGGCTTCCCACCTGTGCTTTCTGGGATCACCTGTCAAAGGACCAGAATCCACTCAAATGCTCGTCTCAGCCTCCACTTCCAAAGGAGGCTGGCCTACCAGACAAATAGGTGGAGATGGGGACCAACCTGAGAGCTGATGCTCCCCCTGAAATGGGCAGCCATGTGCTGTCACAGAGGAATATGTCCTCTAGAGATCTGTCTGAAATCTCCCAGTTTTCAAAATTTGGCAACGAATTAAAGTTTGGTTTGTTTTGTGTTTAAGTGTGGCTCACACCAAGCAATCTGCAGGTCATACTCAGTCCATAGGCCACATTTGACAACCCATGCCACCTAAACATTCCGGGTTCAGTTCAGGTACCAGAGATTCCAGCTTTCTAGAATTTACTTTCTAGTAAATTCTGGTCCGCAGCCATATCAGGGTCTAGGAAGTGCAACAGAAAGGACAAAAAGCCCTTGGGCAAAAAGCCCCCCCACCTCGCTGCAGGATGCCAGGCCTCCAGCTATACCTTAAGAAGAGAGTAGCCTGGAGCTTCCCAAGGTTAGCGGTGTCCAGGGACACTTCCAGCCCAAGGAAGATGAGATGCTGCCCATCCCGCCTTGTGCCCGCCACCAGGAGAAGCTGCCCCTAGGAGCCAGTGCAAATCCCATAGCTTATCTTCTTACCAGGCTTATCCCCAATGCCCCCTGGAAAATTGAGATCTTTTATTTAGAGGAGCCACCTCCTGAGGAATCTGAGAACCTCACTGGAGCTCACCACCCTCTCGGCAAAGCTGAAGCTCTAGACATTACTCAAGATACAAAGAGAAACATCTACCAACCTGTAGACAGAGCCATCTGCATCCCAAACTTGAACCCTAAGTGTACGGCTTGAACCTGACCTTGCAACAGAGGAAGTACTGCTGCTTTGGGCCTGGAACCAAGTTGAGGTGAACCTTTGACACCCCACCACCACCACGCTGAGCAGAATCACAGCTGTTGTCCAGGAAGGACCCAATCCTGGCCACCCAAAGTGCTGCCTCCCACCATGGTGACAGGAAGCTCCTTTCCCTCAAGGTCGCTGAGCTGGACCTATGAGCAGGTCATACCTTGAAGGGAAAACTGCCCAAGCAAGAAGCTGAGACAGGGAGAGAGGGAGGGGGGGAGACAGGGAGAGAGAGACAGACAGAGAGAGGTAGAAAGAGAGAGTGAGAGAGAGAGGGAGAGAGGGAGGGAAACAGAGAGGGAGAGAGAGAGAGGGGGAGAGACAGAGATAGAGACCGACAGAGAGGGAGAGAAAAACAGAGATAGAGACAGAGAAACAGAGAGACGGCGGGCAGAGATTCCTGGGATATCACTTAAGCACCTATGTCCAGCAGTTGCTGACGCCACTATGCTTGGACTTCATGTACCTGGGCCACACTTCCTTTCTTCGCTTGAGATCGTTAACCGATTCTTGCCAACAGCATCTCGATAAGCACTCTTGACCCCCAAGCCTGGGAAGGAAGGGGCGCCCCATGAGTTACAAGTTCCAGAAGGCAGCAGGAGGGACCCACCACCAAGGCCCATGTGTGGACTTCAGGGAGCCCACGGACCCTGTCATTAAGCCAATGAATAGATGTGCCCATAAGCACTTTGCAAGCCCTACGAGGTCAAGAAACTGTGGAAGAAATCCTAGAAAGACCCCCACATTAGAAACACTGGACTGGATAAAGAAAACATCGATGGGCCCAGTAGTGCTTAATTTCAGGTGATCCAGTGGGCGCTTCTCAGGAGGTGACAGGCTAACGCCATTGGCCTCACCATCTCCAGGTGTAGCCAGAAGGAGGCTAAGCCACCGGCCTTCCGGTGGTTTCTCACAAAGAGGAGCCGTGGCCTCCCATGCTCTCCTCTCCCTGCCATCTCCAATCTTATCTGACCCTCAAGGTCCAGCCCAGGCTTGCCTCGCCAAAGACAGGCTCCCTGCCAGGGCACCTCATGTTTCAGGGACTGAGCCTTGTAATCCCACTTTGTTTGCTGCCCATCTTCATTCTTACTCGGACGTTTGACATTTATTTGTCATTATGTTTTGTCTCCTTTCTCCAGCTTGGCTCCAAACTCACTCAAGTCCAGCATGGGCCTTAGGCGTTCTCTCCCTCGTACCTGGTTCTGGCCCAGGGTGGGTGGGCTGCCCTCTGATCACCTGGGGATGTGAAGGCTCAGTCCCACTGGGAATTGTGTAGGGTCCAAGGAGGCCTTACCGGTGCCCCCACCTCATGTCTCAGGCACACAGAAGTTCCTCAGACCTTCTTTCAAGACAAATGGGTCCCCATGTTTAGGAAAACCAACCGCTACTACTAAATGGGCCGTGGTGCCAAAGTCCCTTGCACAGACTGGGTAGTGAGGCCCCTCTGGAGGTCCGGACACTCTGCCATCTGCTCCCAGAGCCTTCAGGGAGCCCTTGCCCCAGGCCCCCTTCTGCTGCCCCACCCAGTCCAAACCCTGTCTCTCCATGGTAGGGGGAGGGAGGGGCTGGCTTTCCCAGGGACGCCTCACATCTCCGCCTTAAGGCTATGTAGGTGAACGGGTCCATCTCTTGTACAGCCTTGAGGGACCCCCACCCGCACCCCTGGATCGGATTCCTGCAGGGGTGGGGCTGGAGGGAGTCTAGAGAGCAGAGAAAGCAGCCCAGACCCCCAAGCACATTGTCGTTTATGATTGTTTTTTCCAGGTTATGTGCGGCCTTGTTGATCACGTGAATATTGACAACCTCTGAGAAGGCTATAATAAGAAGCTGGAGAAAGCATTTGAAGGCAGATTCCATCTGTTCAATGGTCAGCCCTCGAGGAGTGCAGAGAAGACAGAGGAGGGGGCTGCTTTCATATGCTCGCCCTCCCCTTCCCCACCCCTCAGGCCTGGGCCCACCCCGTGGCTCGGTTACCACCCCCCCGCCCCGGGAGAATCTGGGGTGCCGGGCAGCCCGTGATGAAGCTGCAGACCCCTGGGTCCAGACACCCAGTCCCTGACTGAAATGCACCGGCCCCAGGTCAAACTCCTTCCAGAACCACAGCCCCTTTGGCGGTAAGGGATTGAGTGGAGGGAGAGGCAAGCAACTGGGTTTATGCTCAGCCTGCCTTTCTAGTGTTTCTGCAAACAGGAGCCTGGCTGACTTTCCTGAGAGCGACAGTGGGCCCGGGGAAGGCGGCACCTTACACATAGTTCCCACAGCAACCCCAACCAGCCTCCCTCCCCGGATGGCGGGGGTGAAAACCACGTGGGAGAAGGTCTTTGCTTCTTTGGGGGTGTCCAAACAGGAGGACGCCCTCTTATCTCAGCTGGGGACCTCGAGCCACATCCCTGGCTCCGGAGGTGGCCAATCCCAGCAACTGCATCCGCATGCCACTTCACCACAGAGAGGGGACAGCCGCGTGGACCTGGGTTGGACAGGCACAGCGCCTCGGGCCTGGGGCTCGGCCTTCCCCCAGGAGGGGGCCAAGGGCTGCGGACGGGCCGGGCTGGGCGAGCACCGCGCCACATGCGTCCCCAGCCCAGCCACACCGCCTCGGCCGCTGCCTCGCAGGTCCCCTCGCCAATGGGCAAGCCTCCCTTCTCTCCCCCCGGCCACATCGACTTCCTTCTGAGGGCTGTCACTGCAGCCCTTCAAACCCTTTTGACTGGGTTGGAGCACATCACACTGTCACCAACTCAGTTTTCATTAGGCGGCTGCTTCTCTGTTAGCCTAGCCAAGCAGAAGAACTCAAACACATGCACAAATTAAATCGACATCCAAACTCCACCAATATACAAAGCAATTTAAATGATATTCATTAGAGCGATGACAAGCCCTGATGAGGCTTTCAGGAGCTGGGTCCTTCAGCTTTTGCCGACTCGGTTTCATGGTCACTGAGGCGGAACTCCCGAGACTGTACCTCCATTTTTTTTTTTAAGCTAAGAAAATGACTCCTTCCTGACACACCTACCTCATTCTCTCTCTCTCTTCGTCCCCGCTCTGTCGCCGTTTGGCGGGCCCTGGCTTCCAGACCCAGGTATCGTCCCGAATCGGGGAGCCACATAAAGGAAAAAAGCAGCCAGTCTGACTTCTTTTTTCCATAAATGCTCCAATTAAAACAGATTTCAGTTTCTCGTAATTTCATTTCACTTGGCCTGGGAGATCTCTAATTCACAATTACGACGGTCGTAAATGTGTCCCTGGAATCCTGAGGTGGGGGAAAAAAAAAAAGTAATGGAAGTGAGATGTTGAAATGCAATAATTTTTAAAACGTAACCCCCCCTCCAAATTTAAAAAGTCGTTTCCAAAGTCCTATTTATATATTTTAATTTTTAAAGAGAGAGCAGGATGGACCCCCACTCCCCCACCCCCGCTGCGGCTACCTGGGACGAGAGCAGAGGAGCTGGGTTCCCGGCGGGGTCATGGGACTCGGGATCCTCATGCATGGGGGCTAGGAGCCAGGCCAGCCTCCCAGCCACGTCTGAGTCCCCAAGCCCCAGAGAAGGATTCAAGTCCACTTGGGCAAAGAAAGCAGCTCAAGGACTGCGGGATTGCTCGCCAGCTAAGGGCAGAGCAAGGTCACGACCGCATCCATCGGATCTCTGGGCTTCGGAGTTTGCAGCCCAGATAATATCCACAGCAGGGGGAATGATCAGCAACTTCATACACTGATGCCTGCACTTCTGTTTATAATTTTATGCTCAAGGTTAAGTATGTGTGTCCTTGGCTTTGATCAGAGATATTAGCACGTGAGAATGTTGCCTGTGCCCATATTGGCAAAGGAAGGATTCTTAGAAATACCCAGGACTGGAAGCACACTTTCATCTTCAAGCCATGAGCTCTTTCCTACTTGGGAAAAACAGCACTGTCCAAACCAACTTTCTGTGAGGACGGGAACATTCCATATCTGGGCTGCCCCCCCGCCCCCGCCAAAGTGTAACCACTAGCCATATGTGGCTACTGAGTGCTTGGAATGTGGTTGGTACGACTGAAGAACTCAATTTTTCATTGTATTCAACTTAAATTTGAGTAGTCACACGTGGCTGGTGGCCCCTGTATTGCACAGCATGGGTTAGACAGTAAATAACAGTGTATCCTAACTCCTGAGTAGCTAATTGTGGACGTTAATCTCTGGAAAGAGGTCACCTTGCTTATCATCATTATCATCAGGAATGATTTATTAAGAATATATTAGTGCATGACATTATACAAAGGTGGTGGAGAAGCAATTCCTCCGATTTTCTATCATTGGGATTTAATTTTGAAAACACCTGGCTCTTTGGACCAGGGGTAGGGCCCGGGACCCCGAATGCAGAGCCTCAAGAAGCCACTAACTTTGCCGATGTCCAGAGCTTTGGCCTGACTGAGTCACCATCTGTCTGTCCGGACATCACGGACCGTCAGGCCACAGACCAACAATTTGGCACATCCATTGTCTTGGCAGGGCAGGGAACACGGTCCCAAATCAAAGGTGCTTCGGGATGCCCTTGGAACTGTCAAAGCCCACCCAGGACATGGTTTGCTTGCCTTTTAAATCGTCCTGGGGGTGGCCTCCTGGCAAATCCTCGGGGAGAGAAAAATGGTACCTCTAAGTCCAGCAGCATCTCCCTCCGGCTTGCAGAAACCCAATGGAGTGCAAGGAAGATCAAGCACGTCCCTGGAAACAAAACCCTGTGTTGGACCGCTCCTCCGCACTGACACGGGGGTCCAGCCCTCGGCTGCCACAACGTTGCCACACCACGCACGCGAAGGTGGGGCTTGTCGGAAAGGAGCTTTTCTTCCCAGAAGCTTTATGCTGAGAGACAGAGCTGAAGCCTTCCCCAAAGGAGTGAGATTGTTCCCGAAGCTAACTATAGCATATTTTGCAAAGGCCAGCGCGCCCTGGAATTGCGTGGGCACACAGGCACGAGTACCTTTTCCGTGGCTCCCGAGGTTAGCTGCAGGCTGAAAGGCATCGACTGGCACGGGGTCCCACGGGAAATGCATTTTCAGGTTTCCTTTTGCCAAAGATTACACGTGCTTACTAATAAATCCCTAGGGAGAAAAAAGGTTAGTGTTTCTATTACCAAAAGAATAACTATCTGGCAGAGTAAAAATGGTAATTTCTCCATTAGCTAAAAGGATAATAGCTATTATTTTAAAGTTAAAGTATTTATTATTAAAGAGTGGCGCTGGGGTTTGTGTGTTTTCATTTTTATGATTGCTTCCTATAATACAAAGCGTATTGTTTTTGTGCTAAATAGTCAACAGAATAAAATGCCATTGCAATTTTCCAATTTCAAAAGAACTTCACAGATGAATTTGAAAAAATAAAATCATTTAATTTTTTTTTCTTTCTTTCCTATTCGATAGTTAGAAATCTCTGGAGACAACAGTTTTAACACCGGATTTGCGAAATGCAGCCTTGCTTCCCCTCGGCTCCTGTCCTTCTCCACTGTCAGGGTTCTGCTCTCAAGAAGGCGCTCAGCTCTCCCCAGCACTGGGAATAGGTAATAGGGCCCCTTTCCTCTGCAGTATTTTTTGGTCACCAGGCCTTGTGGCATGGTCGGTGGTCAGGGGTTGGGGGCAGGATAGTCGACCTAGCTGGAGTGGTCTGAACTTGAGAAAAGGAATCAGGGCCACAGCCCTGAATTCTGCTGAGGAGGTTCACACTTCCACCTGAGCAGAACACCCTGGGGAGAGGTGCCTCTTTGGTGGCTATCAATATATATATATATATATATATATTTTTTTTTTTTTCCTTTTGCAGAATGAAAATAGAACGGAGATGCCAGGGAGATCTGGGTCCTCATCATAACCAACCCTCTCTAACTATGTACGATTTTGGTTAATTATAGAATTCTTGCTGCCTAAAACTTAAAGATACATCACTGATATTTTTGCTAAATGTTGACTGCAGCGAATAGCTAAGATGTGGCATATTGATTTCTTGTTGTGAAGTGAGCTGTTCAAGCTCCATTTAAGATTTTCATCTTGCATGTAGCCCTGAGCACATCATAGCACCATAAATTAGTTAAATTGCACATTTATCACAAATGTTATTTTAAGATACTGTGTAAATGTGATGGCTGGAAGATATACAGTAGGACTGCAACAAGCCTGGGCTTGGGCGGGGTGAGGTCGGGGTCACCTACACACCTGTGATTAAAACCTCCCTCACTTGGCACCGTCCCTCCTCCTCTCAGGGCCCATTTAAAGACCTGACTGCGAGGCCCCATCCCTTCCCATACTCTCATTCTCTACCAGCACCAACCACAGGAGAACCAGCGCACAACTACGGGAGATTCAGCATGCCGCTTGAGATCTCCCCGTTTTATCTCCAGACAATCGGGGTCATTCTGGGCTGCGAATGGAAGGCTCTTCCGAGCAGTGGTCCGCTCTCTGGCCATGAGAGGGTGCGGTGACCTCCAGAGTAAATGGCCCTACGTTTCCAAATGGGGTGAGGCCCTGGCCAGCCATGCTCACCTCCTCCCAGGATGCATGGTCTGGGGGACTGTCCCTGGGCCAAATTAGGTTTGTGTTCATGACTAGGGTCTTCAACTCCCCAGCTAACTGTGTTTCCTCCCGAGGTAACACTAATTCCTGGGCCCCGTTCCTGCGAGCATCCTTTCCTGGTGCCGAGCTCCAGGTGCCCAACGGGCGAGATCACCTGGTACCCACCTTGGCTCTAAATCCTCACTTCCACACCCAAAGTGAAAAGTCCTGAAGATAATCCTGGGGTGGGGTGAGGACGAGATGGGCAGAGTATCGGGTTCTTCTCCCAAACTGTAAAGTGTGGGGGGGGCAGGCACCCTCACTTGCACAAATCCTATCTCCCTTCAAGCCACATGGGCCTGGTGGTGATGGAAGTGTTGTCAGTTTAATCTGTTAGACGCAGGACTTTGGATTCTAATAAACCGATGCTATATTTAACCTGTGAAAAATTCAAGAGTGGAAATCTGGGCTCCAGGATGTGAAGATGCGGGAGGCACGGGAGGGAGGGTGCTGTCCCCTGAGCCGGGTTCCATGAGGAACCGGTCCCCCACCCCCGCCCCCGGGAGGAATGCATTGTGTGCCACACTCCTCCCAGGTAAAGGCCCACGGGGCACACCACTACTCACAGAGGGACCAGGCCCACGGAGGAGCTGGGGAAGGAGCCAGGCCCGCCTCCCAGAAGGGAAAGCCCGCTGCACCCCGCCTGCAGACGCAGCACAATTGTGTGGCTTAGATCACCAGGCTCGAGCAGAGCCAGCTCGGCGCTCCCGATTTGCCAAAAACCCGTCTGAAACTCTAGTGAGGGTCTCTCTAAAAACTCGCAGAGACATGGATTGCTGAGAGAAAAGTAGAGCAGACAGAAATTTGGGACTCGTCTTGACAAAAGGGGCGGGGATGAAACGGGAAGAAACGTAGGCGTGTTGCCGAACATCTCTGAAAGGGTTTAATTTAAATTTTTAATAAAAGAGTATTTTTTTTTAAGTTGAGGTGTTTTATGTATTACGTGGATGTAATACATCTCTCATTTGTATAATTCTAGGTTAGGAGCTCTGATTCTGCATAACTGCGAGAGTAGTTTGAATGTAGTAATAAAGGTATTTTACAATTTTACATGATGTTCCCAGCGTTTTGTTGGCATGATTTGCCAGGGCTAATAAAAGCTTGTGATTATCATATAAATGCTCTCCCCACTCCTCCCGTGTATGGGTTCAGTCCCACCCACCCCCGACTCCCCACCGCCACCCTGCACCTCGTTATCGGGGCACAGCAGAGAGCAAGTTCTGGTCCCAGAGTCCACCTTCCCGGCATGGCTCTGTTTCCTGCTCCGTGAAAAGCCCGAATCCACAGGAAGGAACCGCCCAGCACCGAGTCTGAGTCTTCCCCACACCTGCCTCCTGCAGGGCTCAGGGCCCTGACTCCTCACGCACTTCCCGGAGGGAGACCAAAGCCCCGGCCCCCAAGCACGCAGGTCGCCAGGGGTGTGACCCGAAGCTCCGCTCCCGAATAAGTTTCTAACACCGCCTTCGCAGAGAGAAGCTAACCTCACGCGAAAGTCTTCCTTTCTCTAACGTTCTCTTCTCAGGGAAAATTCTGTCCACGCAGGCTCTGAAAAGAGGGCTCCCTGCTCTCCAGACGCCAAAGTTCACTAAAACTCCCCTGATTTACGGGCAGCTTCCGACTGCCAGCACCTGGCAGACACAGCAACCGACTCAGTCATAAACAGATCGC